AATCACGAAATCACTATTTTTGAAATTTGGCCGCGAGGCGCAGCAATAGGAGGTCTTTAGACCGAGCCAACCATATTAACTTTCTGCCTCTACTCTAAAGCAAGGCTCTGGATTATTAATATAGAATCATTTAATTAAATAAATGCTGAATTATTCGATCCTTTTTGTTTGGAACCCATTTTTTCTTCCCTTTCTCCTCTCCTAATTTTTCAACGCATGTTTACAAAATGTTTTTGAATTGCTTTGGTTTAGTTTTATATTGTTTTAATAATATATTGAGTTGATAAAGGTGGTAAAGGCATTTTCTCACGCTTAGCTTGTGGTTTGTACTACTGGTCCCAGACAGTCTAGGACATTTAAGAAAATATGCAGACACAAATTGTTACGCGGATATTTTTGGACAGTGTCCATTGGACATTGTTCAGGACATGTCCATGTCCGCTCAATATTAGGTGGGCATGTCCCATGTACAACACTGCTAATCGCGGTCGATATCTTTAGCAGTCAAATCTTGTTCAATAAATTTACGGACAGACACATAAGAAAATTGCATTTAAAATCGTTATACCAAAATTTTATGTGAAGCAAAATTCTTAGATGTAATTCGTTGAAAGGAGGTTTGACTGTACATTTAATATTAATATTCCTTAATTGTTAAGAGACAATAGTAGGTATGAAACGTAATTAGCGTTTTAACTTATGATGCCAGATTTTTTCCTTTGACATAACATTGTTGACATCCTCTTTTCATACAAACAACATCACTTTCGCCCACCATATCACGATCAAACAACAAAGTATCAAATTTGCAGAGAGAACGACTTGGTGCCTTTCAATCCTTTATTGTTCCATCTTCTTGCAGCTAATATCTGATGCATCAGGAGAACGGTAAAAAAATTATATGACGTACATATACTTATAATCTTTCTGATGATTGGCGTACCATTTTCAAATAATCACCCTTATGAGCCATTCTGATATGCCAGATTCCCGTTCAAAAGCTGGCAAAGTAACAGTATCATGAATCTAGATTTCGAAGCTAACATTTTTAATTCCAGGAACCGATACTAATACTTAAACTTCTACCAGAATCTAAACTTTTGCTAAAATTGGGGGGTTTTTTTTAAACTTATATGTTGATGATAAAATGATAAAAATTATATTTTTTAGTATGTTTGGGGAAATTCATTGATAACAACTTTTTTAATTGTTCTAATTTTAAAAATTTAAATAAAATCTATTTCCTTTATTTAATGTCAATATACAAATACAAATTGGAATTTCTCGTCCAAATACCCTAATACTACAATTATTTATTGTTTGATTTTTAATTCAGCTAATATTTTTTCAAGTTTGTTATTCATATGTTTTTCAATTTCTTCAATTTTATCTTTGACTTGGTCCAAATCACATTTTTCAGGAGCTTCAACAAGGTCCCTGACTTTCTCAGAAATAAATGTTGCATGTTCTGAATCATCCATTTCTTTAATTTTTTTCTGAATATCTTCAATTGGAACTGAATAACATCTAATAAAACAAAAAAAAAAATTTAAATTAAATTTTCAAGCAAATTTAAAGATAAATTATAATTGCATATAAACTTGTACTATATTTACAAAATATCTGGGAACCAATCTCTCCATCGACGTTGATTGGGTAATAAATAAAATAATTCCATCTCTCTGATAACTTTTGCTCTCTCAGCCAAGAATGCTTCTTCTGTGTTATTTTTTTCAATTTCATTACTAAGCAAGCCAATAAATAAGTTCATCAAATATACAACCACTATGAATGAAAATGTCACTACTAATATGGCTAGATAATAATTATCTACAGGTGACCAAGCTCCAAGTGCACTGCTGTCACCTATTATAATAATACATATTTTTTATTAAGAAAAAATTATATATTATTATTATCATTAAAAAAAACTTGTTTATTTACCTGTAAGGAAATTATACATTGCCAGCATTGAAGTAGGAAACTTGGCAAACATGTTGACTGTATCATCAGGCTTTTTCACAAAATATGAAGTGGGATCATATATATTATTTGTAAATATGGCATAATTATCAACAAGATTCCAAGGATTGTTGAGATCATCATTACTGGCAGGAGGTGTGTCTAGATCAGTTGGTCCAGTTGGTCTTAATAATATGTGTAATGCATGTGAAAAACTTAAAATAATTAAAAACAATATCAACAAAAATGAAAAGACACTTTGTGCCACTCCAAGAATTATTGCATAATAAACACCAAAATATCTAAAAGCTCTAAATAATAACATGAATCTCAAATCTAATAATAAATTAGCCAATGAAATCATCCATAATGGTGGTGGTATGCCATAATACAACTGAAGGGCTGATGCAGTGATTGGTAACAAAAAAGCACCAAGATCTAATATCAATAGTAATAATTAATATTAAATATTAAATTATGTTTTAACAAATCATAAAAAAAAATACTTCTTACCAAAAATATTCCAAAGATCTTTCACATAACTCATCCTTCCCCAAATAAATTGTCTGATTTCAGCAATCATAAAAAATGAACCAAGTGCAATGCAGGCCTTCAATGATTTTTTCTTTTCAATGTCAGAAAAGTAAGTTGAGTCACTAGTGGTAGGAATAGCAAAGCTTAATAAAAATAATGTATAAATCATTGATACACCTATGTGATATTTTCTTCCAAAATGGTTCCACTTGTAATCCAAGATAAATTTTCCATTCCAATGTTTGTAAATTTCTAAGTTCTCCAATTTAACAAAAATGTTTGATTCTGGTATAATCATTTCCCATACAGGATTATAATTACTGCTGTAATTCATAAATCCTGGGAAGGGAATTAAGAGCATCACACAAGCCTTTTCACTTTCAAGTTCACTAATGTTAAAAACCCACTTTAAAAATAATGAAATTTTTTGATGTAAATAATCTCTAACAAATCTAAAAAAATATCTATAAAAATAGAAATGCCAAATTTTACTAGACTGGAAAATGAATATTTCATGGGGTTTTGCTTGATTAAATAAACCAGAGAAAGCAATCTTATCATCAAATTGAAGTAACATTGCTGAATTTCGAACAAAAAATTTTGAAATTAATCTTTGATAACCTCCACCTAATTGTGGTAATTTAGCAATAATGATTTTTAATAGACTGATATTTGATTCAACATCATCTATAAACCATTCAAGACATGATTCAACCATTCCTTCTACAAAATGTTCATTTCCTCCATTTAACGCTCCATCTAAACTTATGTCTCCATATTTGGTGAGATAATAGAAATCTTTTGTTAAGTATTGAATCATCTCTCTATAAGGGTGGTGTTTAAAAACTTGAATTTGACTTTGATTTTGGATTTGATCTTTGCTGGTGGAATTTTTTTTAATTTTTTTAAAAAAATGGTCAACATCAAATATATAACCTTCATAATCTTTTTCAATAGACTTGATGCTTTTTTTTAAACCTTCTATACTCAATTTATGACTTCTAATATATCTAACATATATCAAATTTTTCTTTTCATCAACAGCAAAAATTTGTATATAATTTGTTGTTATTAAGGTCAATCTATCATCAAATAACTTGCATTGAATGAATTCTTCTTCATATGATAATTCATAGTCACTACTACTGTTGCTGTTTTTGTTTAGAGCCCTTATATTTATATGTTGATGTTCTTTGTTATGAGTGATGGTCCATTTATAATCTTTTCCAATTTTAATGATAGGGTTTTCATATAGTCCTTTATTTTTTTCATTGTTGATGAGGAGTTCTTTAATTGGTTTATCAATTGTTTTGTCATCAGAAGATTCCAATTCATCAAGTATGTTTTTATATATTTTATGCAATTGTTGACCCATATAATAAATTTCATAATTTTTCAATTTAAACTTCTTAATTTCTTCTGACACTTCATTATTAATGATTTTTTTAGTGCAAATATGATCATCAATAGCCATGACAATACAATCATTATCTATAATTGGTCCAAATATAATACTTTTATTCTTACTGTCATCTTTATCAAAAATGTGTGTAATATTTATAGAAGTGTCAAGATCAAGATTGTAAGGGTCCATTAACACACAATTATTTTCTCCATTTTCTTTATCAAAATATATGACTAACAAAAACTCTTTAAATTTTAATTTTTTTAATATTGCCAATTTCCTTTTTAATTTTGTCAATTTCTCTTGTTTCTTTGCTGATGTCCAATATGGATTCAAATTGATTTCATTGATTTTTTTTTCTAATTTTGTTAATCCTGTTAATTCTTCTTTTGTTGGTTGACTCATTTTTTTTGTAATTCTATTGATTTTATTTTCAAATTTTTTTATATATTTTTCTTTCCCTGATTTCTCTGATGTCCAATATTTTTCCAAAATATCAATTTCATCTTCTAATTTTGGTAAATCATCTTTTTCTTTTTTCATTGTTGACTGATTCAAAATATCATCATTGATTCTATTGATTTCATCTTCTAATTCTGTTAAATCTTTTTTTTTTTCTAATATTAAACATTGATCCAAATCATTGATTTCATTGATTTCATCAATTTCATTTTTTAGATCTGTTAAATATTCATTTTCTTTTTGATTCGAATCTTTGTTTTTTTTGATTTTATCTTCTAATTTTACTAAATCTTCTTTTTCGTTTTTCTCTAATGTCCAATAATTTTCCTTGATTTCCTTGATTTTAACTTGTAATTTTGCTAAATCTTTTTTTACTTTTTCTGTTGTTGATATTGAAATATTACCTTCGATTCCTTTGATTTTATTTTCTAATTTTGCTAAATATTCTCTCTCTTTTTCCTTTGATGTCCAATATTTTTCCAAAGAAGCTTTATGAATTTTATTGACTTCGTCTTCTAAACATGCTAATTTTTTTTTGTCCTCTCTTCTTTCCTTCCAATATTTTTTTGAAGAAACCTCTTTGACTTTATTAATTTTATTATTGAATTTTTTTATATCTTCTTCTCTTTCTTTATTTGTTGTTGATTCCCAATATTTTGTCGAAATCTTATTAATTTCATCATTTAAACTTGATAAATCATCATCTGCGTTTTCTTTTGTTAAGTCCAAATATTGAGTCCAAATATCATCGAATAATCTTTTATTTGATTTTTCCTCCGATTCAGCCACCTCATCATCATCCTTTTCCTCCTCAAATACCAATGTGTCACTTTTTACATAAATGAAATCTACTTTTTTAATATGAACTTTTTTCTTAAATTCAACTGTAGATGGATTTATATTATATGTTAGATTATTATTATAAATAACAAGAATATTATTAATTATGTATCCCTATAAAAAATAAAATACGAATAGGTACGCGGGAAAGCGTACAGAACAGTTCGTGTAACAAAAACGAATTTTTTGCATTCCGTATTTTTATTTTCTATAGGGTATATAACGACTACTTACATGATGAAACTGTTATATTACGCTCTAATGAATAGACTACTAGCTTCGAATCTTGACGATAATCAGCCACCATTAATGCCTCTTCCGCATTGCTTTTTTTATTAAGAACCATATAATCATTAGATTTTAAGTAATAATTTTGTTTGTAATTGTAATTGTAATTGCCATAAAAACGATTCTGACTCATACGATCCCATTCCGATACCAATGAATGATTAGCAGCAACAAGAAAATATGTGTCATCATAATAAATTCTTGGGGTATCATCACTATAAATATTATGTGTATCAAGAAGTTCGGCACGAGCATCACCTTTGTTATATTTCATGGAATATACTTTATACTTTTTTTCATCTCTATCGCTTCTTCTCAACATTATTAGTTCCACTGATTCAGATTTTGAGTTTCTATTGTTCTGAAAAATAACTTTTGTATATTTTTCTTTTTTGTTATCTTTTTTTCCTTTTTTTTTTCCTTTTTCTTTTTTTCCTTTTTCTTTTTCTTTTTCATCAATTTTGTCTTTTTCATCGATTTTTTCTTTTTCTTTTTTTTCATCAATTTTATCTTTTTTAATTTCCTTTTCAACTTTATCAGGATACCCGATGCGGTTTCCATTTTCTAGATCGAACAATACTAAAAAAAAAAAAATATTAATATTGTTGTATTTTTTTTAAAAAACTAAATAAACTAGGAGTAATTACTTACTGCAATATTCACTACTGTCAATTTTTATAACTGCACACTGATTATCAGAAACTTCATCGATATAAATCTTGAATTTGTCTTCATCATCAACAATATTGGTTTTCTTATTATTATCAAGATTTTTAAAATTCTTATCAAAACTCCTATTGTACTCGTAAGTTTTAGAACAACTTAATAAATTTTCTTCATCAACTGTCCATAAAATGATGATTCCACCGTTTTTGTTTCTACAATGAGTTACAATACATTTATGATTGGGACTATACTTCATTTCTTCAATATAGTCTCCACATTTTCTTTTTTGGTTAGGCTCGAGTTTTTTATTAAATTCGATCCAATCTAGTGTTTTAATGACAGTCAGTGTTAGTGTGCCGTTGTTGACATTGTTATTATTTGCGTCACCATTGTCTTTGTCGTTGTCATTGTTTTTATTTGCGTTGTCATTGCTATTATGAGCAATAATTTCTTTAAGTTCACTTTCTTTAATATCATCACTCATTTTTTTAATTAAAGAAAATAAAAAACCCAGTCGAGTTACAATTATTTGTTATCATTATCCAGTTATTATATTGCAAACCCATTCATTATATGTATCATATTTGGTATAATGAATTCCACAAAAAGATGACAAATGATGTGTACTACTTGTGAAGCACGACATTAGCGAGATAATCAAATAATCTACATTATTAGTGACCCATTCATTATATGTATCACACATTTGGTATAATGAATTCACAAAAAGATGATGAATGATGCGTATTTCTTGTGAAGCACGACATTAGCGAGTTAATTAAATAATCTACATTATTAGTGATGGGCGTAAAAATTATTTTGAAAAATGTCCGAGTTATTAACTCTATTGGTGACTTATTAAGTGTTAAAAACACAAACTTGCAGATCTTATGGTTTTAATCAAATACTAATTTGATGACAGTGCATAAATTCAGCATGCGGAGTGTGCGTGCTAACCAAATAAGGTTAACATGCAAATTCCACATGCTGAATCTTATACTAATAGGGATTGATTGGCAAAATGGATCTTTTGGATGCAACAATAGTTGATAATAATAAGAGGTTAATAACTTGAAGTTATTAAATGCAGGGTTAAAAATTCCCGTCGCTACACATTATATTTTATAATAACAGTAATAAAATAAACAATGCTCCCGTATAAATCTTTTTCTTGGCTTATTTCTTTCAACTCTTTTTAGAATTGGCTAGAGATTAAAAAGGATTACGAATTAAAATTTTTTAGATCATGTTGTACCACCTTCAAACAATTAAATCAAATAACAGCCAAAGAAGGAACTCTATATCGATGTATAATATGCACCACTTGCGGAATTTGTAATTAATTGTAAATAGTAATACTAATAGTATTCCACAAATAACTGGAACGCTGGAATTCCAATGATTATCCCTGTGCTAATAACATCTTTTTTTAAGAAATATTGGTGGAAAGCAAAATAATTTATTTGTTTATACCGATAAAAATATAAGGATAAACCAGAATAATTGTAAAGGATGTGCAACAAGAGGATTCGGTAATGCTAAAACAGAAGTTCGGATTTAAACACAATAAAAAGCATCTTGAAATAAGGGACGTGGTGGATATGATGTAATTTTATTTGGGGGAGGGTCTTAATTTAGATGCTAAAAAACTGATGACACGAATCAAAAAATGGAAATTTTTATTTTTAACGTAAAAATAATTATTTTTGATATTATTATTATTTACTAATCTTTCTTGTAAAGAAGGAAGTTTGCTATAATCTATTATTGATGAGTTAGAAATTAAACCTATATTATTGCTTTTACTTTTTTTTGTTTTCCAGGATGTCCTGATTTATAATGTAGAGTAAGAAACTTTAATATTTACCACAAATCATAAAGAGAAATAAATGGACAATGAACATCAGATTTGGGAAATATTTCGCCGTTGAGAAATTTTAGTGCATGAATGGGATTTAAATAATGGTCATCAAGTGTCTTTACCATCAGAGGTAAAAATCTATTATTTGCTGATAAAAAATCTTTAGCACTTGTTATCCACAACATTCTTTATTACTACATTTCGAATATCTAATGAGTATTCACATAACTTTATATGATTTTCTATTCAGGACCATGGAACATGTGAATGGTCATCTTTATTATATTTTCAAATGATATGAATGATATTTCATTTTCACGAAATAGAGGATTAGTTTTTTCATCAATGTAAGTACAATAGACAGACTTCCATTGATTTTATTCTTTTGCCGTAATTCAGATAGTTTTATTCCTCCATGTTGAAAATTTTTTTATTCTAATTCTTTATTTATCAAACTTTGTTTCAACGAACCCAAGAAAAATTGTGAAAATTTTTATAATGTGAAACAAATTTGTTGAGGGAGTCAATGTAAATAATTACGTCATATCCGCTATGTTCCTAATCAAACAAAAAGAATTCGCAAAATAGAATATGCATTAGAATAATAGATAAGAATTTTCTTTTTTATATATGTACATATTTATCATGCTTCCATATTTATATTATTACAAATAAAAATAAAAAAAAAATTTCATTGGCTGAATTCTTTGAATTCCGATGTAAGCTTGCATTTCAATGTGCAGTACCCGTGAATTATTATTCAAATACAGTGTGTTACAAAATAATTACGATGTAAATTTGTTTTCCAAGAAAGTAGCCAAATCCAAAGCCGCAACATTATAAAATTATATCAGAGGGTCAAGAGATTTTAAACTATTGCATGTAAAATTTTTGAAGCTTATTATTATGTAGGTTTTAGAGCAATGATCAAAAAACTTTACATTAAAATTTTTTTTTTCAAAAATAATCGAATATCAATAATCCTCAGAATTTAAGCTACGAATTGATATATTCTTTGTATATAAATATTATGCATGTTTTTGTGTCTGCAATTTTTAAAAAATTATATGTTAAACAAAAATTTAAGTTTAGAAAAGAATATACATATGGTTTGATCTGTTGAGTAATTAGATTTGCGCAATTTTTTTCATAATTGTAACTTTTTTCGAATGAAAGAATCAGGGAAGCGAACGCAATAACTAACAGTTCAGTGTTCAATAGAAGCGGCCATATTCTAAAAATAGATTTTAAAATAAAAATCCACTATTGCTAAAATGGACACTTCCTATTCGAGTGCCATTTTGTTATCTACATATTTTAAATATTATTGAGTTCCCGTGTTGAAACATTTACATAGTAGGAGATTATACATCAATTGTTTGCAATATTTATTAAATTAATACTAATATGCATGATCTACAGCAAAACCTCTCGTTTCAACGAACCTATGGGATCAATCATCTAAATTCGTTGAAACGAAACAAGAAAAAAATTTATTAAATAAAAATATCATTTGTTTTGAATGTTTGGATACTATAAGTGTCGTCTTTTTTTTTCCAATGAGTTAAAGATTGGAACCGGTCAAAAAAACTTTAACCGGTTAATTATATAAAAAATTTTTTTTTAAGAAATATTTATTTGTCAATTGACGTGAATAAATGAGAAAGATCGGCGTCACTATTATTGTGTTATTTATTATGCATGTACAAAGTAGATCTCAAAGAGTATTATTAAAAAGGCTTTAATGGCCTTCTGGTCCGCGAATGAATCAGAGGATTCGGCGGTGATGAAAACTGCTAATTGTCAACCTTTACACAAAAAGTTGCATAAAAAAAAAAAACCAATATCAAGTGAATAATAATTAACATCACATGAAATTACAGAGAATGTGACCATACGTCATAATTGACCATAGAGACAAATGTGAAATAATTTACTGTATTTTTCAAATCGATAGACTATTCATTCAAAGGCAAAAATTTCGAAAGTATCTATTAAAAGAACATTTTTTTGGTTTGATAGAAACAATCTAAGCAAGAACCATGATTGACCTAGAAATATCAATCATTTGATAGTTTAACGTTCATAACCCATAACCCTATGTCTGATTATAACATGTGATTCTAAACTTTTGTTCAGGCAATAAAAAAAAAAGCATAAATTTTAAAATTTTTTTTACCAAAACCTAAGCTACATATAAATTTAATGGGAACGTGCATAAAATTTTAAATAAATTTATCGTAATAAACGTTCGGTTCACTAGTAAAACTGGTGGTTTATGAACCAACCCACACCGTTCCAAATCCCTAATCGCGGTCGATATCTTTAGCAGTCCAAATCTTGTTCAATAAATTCACGGACAGACACATAAGAAAATTACATTTAAAATCGTTATACCAAAATTTTATATGTAAAGCAAAATTTTTAGATGTAATTCGTTGAAAGGAGGTTTGACTGTACATTTAATATTAATATTCCTTAATTGTTAAGAGACAATAGTAGGTATAAAACGTAATTAGCGTTTTAACTTATGATGCCAGATTTTTTCCTTTGACATAACATCGTTGACATCCTCTTTTCATACAAACAACATCATTTTCGCCCACCATATCACGATCAAACAACAAAGTATCAAATTCGCAGCGAGAATGACTTGGTGCCTTTCAATCCTTTATTGTTCCATCTTCTTGCAGCAGCTAATATCTGATGCATCAGGAGAACGGTAAAAAAATTATACGACGTACATATACTTATAATCTTTCTGATGATTGGTGTACCATTTTCAAATAATCACCCTTATGGGCCATTCTGATATGCCAGATTCCCGTTCAAAAGCTGGCAAAGTAACAGTATCGTAAATCCAGATATCGAAGCTAACATTTTTAATTCCAGGAACCGATACTAATACTTAAACTTCTACCAGAATCTAAACTTTTGCTAAAATTGGGTGATCTGTTTTTTTTTTTGGGGGGAAATTTGATAACAACTTTTTAAAAATTTAAATAAAATCTATTTCCTTTATTTAATGTCAATATACAAATCGGAATTTCTCGTCCAAATACCCTAATACTACAATTATTTATTGTTTGATTTTAATTCAGCTAATATTTTTTCAAGCTTGTTATTCATATTTTTTTCAATTTCTTCGATTTTATCTTTAATTTGGTCCAAATCACATTTTTCAGGAGCTTTAACAAGGTCTCTGACTTTCCCAGAAATAAATGTTGCATGTTCTGAGTCATCAATTTCTTTAATTTTTTTCTGAATATCTTCAATTGGAACTGAATAACACCTAATAAAGCAAAAAAAAAAATTAATTTAATTTTTCAAGCAAATTTAAAGATAAATTATAATTGTATATAAACTTGTACTATATTTACAAAATATCTGGAAACCAATCTCTCCATCGACGTTGACTGGGCAATAAATAAAATAATTCTATCTCTCTGATAACTTTTGCTCTCTCAGCTAAGAATGCTTCTTCTGTATTATTTTTTTCAATTTCATTACTAAGCAAGCCAATAAATAAGTTCATCAAATATACAAC